TACATCACTAATGATAAGAGAAATGCAAATCAAAAACTACCCTCAGATACGACCTTTACACCCATTAGGATGGCCACATGAAAAGAACAGAAAATAACAAGTTGGCGAGAATGCAGATAGATCAGAACCTTTGTGCACTGTTGGTGGAAATGTAAAATAGTGCAGCCATTATGGAAAACAGTATGGAGGACCTTCAAGAAAATTAAAAATAGAGGGGCGCCTGGGTGGCTCAGTCGGTTGGGCATCCGACTTTGGCTCAGGTCATGATCTCACGGTCCGTGGGTTCAAGCCCCGTGTCGGGCTCTGTGCGGACAGCTCGGAGCCTGGAGCCTGCTTCGGATTCTGTGTCTCCCTCTCTCTCTGACCCTCCCCCGTTCATGCTCTGTCTCTCTCTGTCTCAAAAATAAATAAACATTAAAAAAAAAAAATAGAAACCATACGATAGATAAAGCAATCCCACTTGCAGTAATATAGCCAAAAGAATTCAAAGCAGAGATAGTAGCACACCCATGTTCACCCAGCCTTCTTCATAATAGCCAAGAGGCAGAAGGAACCCAAATTCACTGCAAGATGAATAAAGGAAATGGGGTAGGTATACACAATGGAATACTATGTAGCCTTAAACAAACAAACAAACAAACAAAAAGAAATCCATAGAAATCCTGTCATACTACAACATGGATGAGACTGCAGGATATTTGCTAAGCAATTAAGCCCATCATAAAAAGCCAAATGCTGTATGATTCCACTCATATGAAATGTCTCAAGTAGTCAAAATCATAGAAACAGAAGTAGAAGGTGATGTGGGTGTCAAGGTGGGGAATGGGGGGGGGGCGGGAAAATTAGTGTTCGGTGGGTACGGTTTCAGTACGGCCCGATAAAAAGTTCTAGAGGTCTTGGGCACAACGGTGCAAATACACTTAACACTACTCAACTGTACCATACTTACAACTGTTAAGATGGTAAATTTAAAGTTATGTGGATTACTGAACAAGAAAAAGGTCTGCTGAAAACATCCAGGCTCTCCAGGCTGAAGCACGGAGACAAAAAAAGAGATGGAAAGGCATAAAAAACATAAGGGACATCGCCAAACAACTGACGTACAGGAGAGAGACGAACAGCACAGAAGGAGCGTACGAGAAACACTGGACGGTCCTTTTCCAAAACTGACGAAAACGTCCGGCCTCAGATTCCGGAAGCGCTAAGAACCACCCACCGCCACCACCGAAGCCCCAGCCGAGTAGACATAAAACCACACCTCGTACCTCGTGGTAGGACTGCTGAGAAACGCAGACAAGGAAGATCTTCAAGACAGCCGGGGGGATGGAGAAGGGTCAGACACACGTTACCTTCCGCACTGCGAACAACGTGAAAGATGACTTCTCACTGGAAACGACGTGGGGGGAGGCTGCAACGCGCCCCCTAGAGCAAGTCTCCCCCAGCGCCGGAACCTGGGACTGTTCCCTTACAGAGCGAAGAGTAACTGAGTGAAGCATCTTCGGAGGAGGCGCTCATCCTGGATCGCCCGGGCCCTGAGCGCAATCACGTGGGCCCTTGTGAGCGACAGAGGGAGTTCTGAGACAGACAAACATGGAGAAGGTGAAGGAACACGGAGCAGAGAGATGTGAAGATGCTGGTGATGTGGCCACACGTGTAGGCACGCTGGCAGCCACCAGAAGCTGTAAGAAACAGATTCTCCCCTAGAGCCCTGGAGGGAGTGTGGGCCTGCCGTGCCTTTTTTTTTTTTTTTTTTTGGACCCAAAGGTAGATTTTGGACTTCTAGCTCCCAGGACTGTGAGAGAATAAACGTACATTGTGTTAGCCACAACACCTGTGATACTTGCTACCGCAGCCTTAGGAAATGAATGCCCCACGAAAGCCAGAAGACCGTATCTTGAAAACGCAGAAATAAAAGACTGCCCGTTTAAACTTCCATATCTGTTTGCATATCCATATCCAAAATATCCATATCCATTTTTCACTCCATTTGGAGTGAAAGTCTCCAAAGATGATGGGAAAACACATAAGCAAACAGGGAGAGAATGTGTCGCCCAGGATCCTGCATGACAGGAAGTGCTAAAGGTCACCCCACAGCAACAACAACACAGCCACTATGTGAGGTGAAGTAACACGTTAACTCACCTTGCTGTGGTACTGTGGTACCTACTGCGCGACACACGTAACAAATCATCACGTTGTGGACCTTAAACCCACACAGGGTTACATGTCGACTCTATCTCAAGAAAGCAGGGAAACAAGAGACGCTAAAGGGAGCTGCTCGGCGGCAAGGAGGGAGCATGCGCGGGGGGCAGAGCTGCAGGCAGGCGTGAAGAGCAGGAGGCAGGGCGCGTACAAGTGAATGACTGGCGTGCACACCAACGATACAGTCTCCGGCTCAAAATACACGTCGAATGAAAGTGGTAACGGGAATGGCGGGGAGGAGGTACTTGGAAGTCAGAGGGTTCCCGTGCTTTAGAATTTTTAGGGAAATGGCCAGAGTGATGACTTATGTTGGTGCTGAGGCAGACACGTACGCCGTGAGGCCTCCTGCAACCCCCCAAGGAACAAACAAAATCAATTAGGAAAACGAACAGACGGACTGGGGGACACAGAATAATGAAAATACTTGATGCAGCCAAAAAAAAAAAGGTAAGCAAGGAAACAAAAGAAACATAAAACAGGCAGAACCACATAAAACAAATGGTAAGAAAGTAAAAGTAAATCCAAACCTACCAGTATATTTAATGGGGTAATTAAATACTCTGATCAGATGATAAAGATTGCCACAAGTATGCTCACTCAGACTGTGAAAGCTCATGTGGTACACTGTTCTGTAAATGTATGCACACTTTCTTTACATATATGATATTTCAAAAAATGAAAAAAGACAAATTGTCACAGCGGGTTTAAAAAAAAAAAAACAACAAAACAAAAAAACCCTAGGGGTGCCTAAGTGGTTCACTTGGCTATGCATTTGACTTTGGCTCAGGTCATGATCTCGGGGTCTCTGAGTTTGAGCCCCGCGTCAGGCTCTATGCTGACAGCTCAGAGCCTGGAGCGTGCTTCGGATTCTGTGTCGCCCTCTCTCTCTGCCCCTCCCCGCTCATGGTCTGTCTCTCTCTCTCTCAAAAATATGTAAACATTAAAAAACAAAACAAAAAAACAAAAAAAACAAAAACACCCTACAACCTGCTTACAGGAGACATTTACATATCAAGCTACGGAACAGTTTAAAGGAGAGGGACAGGAAAGGTGAACTATGCAAAAACTAACAAAAAGAAAATGGGTGTCACAATTCAGACAAAACAGACTCTAAGGCAAGAAACATTAACAGAGATGAAGATTATTTCATAATGAACAAAAGGGTCAATTTACCAAGGAAGGATCATAAATCAAAAGGTGTGTGTGCCTAAACACAATTTCCAAATATGTAACGTAAAAACCCCGAAGAACCAAACGAAGAATGGACAAATTTCTATTCTTCAAAGACGTCCCCAGGACACGCATGGAAGACACCAGAGATGGTGTCTACGGGAAAAGGGGAAGGGGAATGTGAAACTAAAGATCAAAAAAATGAAAGGGGAAAAAAACAAAAAACCTAAAGAACAAAACCTTGCTTTAAGACATCAACAGATTTTTCTGTAAAGATCAACAAAACCAAGCAAAGGTTTTTGGCAAAAGGTTCATGCACCTAAAGATAGTCTTTCTTACATTTTACATTTAAACACGTAAACATCAGGGCGCCTGGATGGCTCAGTTGGTTAATTGCTTGACTTTGGCTCAGGTCATGATCTCGCAGTTTGTGTTCAGGCCCCGCATCGGGCTCTGTGCTGACAGTGCAGTGCCTGAAGCCTGCTTCAGATTGTGTGTGTGTGTGTGTCTCTCTCTCTCTGCCCCTCCCCTGCTCACACTGTCTCTCTGTCTCTCTCTCAAAAGTAAATAAATATTAAAAAAATAAAAACAAAATAATAAATAAAAGAATAAAATAAAAGAGTAGAATAGAGTAGAATAGAAAAGACTACACAGAAAGATCCATTCTTAGCTCCAGGACACAGAAAAACAGATGTGGCCCACTGGCTGGGGTTTGCCAACCCTGTCCTGACGGGGAGAGACAGAGACCATGAACAAGGGTGGGATTCACTCAACCCCCTGTGCCTAAGGCCTTAATTTTAAAAATAAAAAAGGGAGGAGGGGAGGAAGGCAGGGAAGGAAGAAACCAGCTGTCCTACTGGCTGCTGCTCAGTGCCACCTTCACTGCCTGCCTGCCCATGAGGGCGATGTTCTAGGACACTGGACACACACCCGGGTCCCAGGAGCGGCATTCACAAGGGCCTCCTGCTTTACAGGACAAGTGCACCCTTTCCACAAGGGCAATCTGCCAGGGGATGTCTGACGCTCCCAAATATGCAACTCCAGCCCTGGCTGGGTGCCTGGTCCTGGAAAGATCTTGTCAGAATCATCAACGGACACAGGAGTGAAGCCAAAAAAGGCCAAAGATCCACAGAGACTGGTGGCTCTCGGTTACCACCAAACAGCCTATGATAACCCCGAAACAAACCAGGAGCAACGCATCGAGCAGAGGCTGCTTCCGCCCATCCAATGCCTATCCTTCCTCTCCTCCTTACTAGGTACCGAGGCCGGCACAGTGCCAGCTAAGACCCTGCTTTTTCAGGGTCTCTTGCCGATGCAATTAGCCAATGAGATGTGAGCAGAAGTCACCAGTTGGGACTTCCAGGCAAGCCGTTTAAAGAGGCGCGCACGGCTGCAGCACACTCTCGCCCCATCCTCCTTCCTGCTGCCTGGACACGGATGTGACGGCTGGAGCTGCAATGTCACACAGAGGGCAGGCCCTGGGGACAGCAGCGCCGCCACCCCAACCCAGACAACTGCTTCTGCACGAGAGCAGAGCAAGCCTCTATCTTGTCTAAGTCACTGTCACTGCTGTGCGGTTTCTGCGGTCAATGGCAAACCTAATTCTGAGCAAGTGTGCTCAGCCTTGCCTTCAAAGAGTGGAATGGTGTCGTTGGAAAAGGTGTCCAAGGCCAGGAGGTCCTTCCCATCTTTGGACCCGCTGCGTTTGTGCTTATGTTTCCTTCGGAAGAAGGATCTGCGTGCAGCTGCCGACAGCGTCTTTGTGGCGTTGTTGTCGTCTTTGACTTCAGACATGCTGAGTCTCCTGGAGAATTCTTGGTCCATCCTGTGGTCACAGGGAACAGTGGTGCTGGGAAGGGCCTAGGGACCACCGCCCGCCCGTCCTGCCCTGCCCGTGCAGAGGGTGCAAGCCAGGACTCCAGGCTCCTCCAACACTCCTCTCCAGGTTCCTTGGCCACATCACCCACCCATGCCACCAAGGACCCCTTGGGACCACTGATGTGGGGGCGACACACACCCCAGTGCTGGGGGAGCTCTCAGAGAGGGACAACTGCTACACTCAGGTGAGTGTCAAAAGGAGCTGCTAGGACAGCCCTCCCTTGGTGACAGGACAAGTTACACTTCCTGCCAAAAAAAGGAATGAGACACGCACGCACACCGCAACATGAAAGCACCTTGAAAATGGTATGCTAAGTGCAAGCAAGCACCCAGTCTCGGAAGACCACACTCGCATGAAAGTCCACAACAGGGAACTCAACAGGGGCAGGAAGCACAGTCATGGCCGCCTCGGGTAGCGGGGGCAGGAGGCAGCTAATAGCTAACGGGGACAGGGCTGCTTCTGAGGTGATGGGAAGGCTGTAAAATGGATGGTGGGGACAGTGGCACATGGCTGTGAATACACTGAAAGCCACTGAACCCGTACGCTTGGGGTGAACTGCACGGTGGATGAATACATCTCAATAAATCGGTTAAAAATAAAAAAGTTATGTCTCCTGAGTTGCCACCATGCTTCCGTATAGCAGTGACTTACAAACATTGAATTCTGCTAGGAGCAGCTTTTTGGACAAGCGGTGTGGGCAAAACATACAGACCAGAGCCAGGGTGCACGGCGGAATGCGTCCCAATCCTGTGGGACAGCCCCAGGTTGGGCCCCACCCTACCCCCAAGCCCAGACACCAACACTTACACATATTTGCTGGGGATCTGCCCGCGCTGGATCTTCTGGGCATTCTCGTCCAGCTGCCAGGCCATCCAGGACCCAAATGTGCCCTGAGGCAAAGTGTCGTCAATGTAGAGGATGTCATCTTTCTTAAAGCTCAGCTCATGCTCCACCTCGGCCAGCCGGTCGTAGAGGGCCCTGGACCAGGTGACAGAAGGACCGGGATCAGAAGCTGCTGGCTACTGGAGGACTGACCAGCTACACAACTTGGCAGCCAGTCTCCTGGGACAGTCCCCCTGCTCTAAGCTTTCCCCAGGCCACGATCAGGACCCACCTCTCCCCTTCCTGGTGGCAGTTCCCAAAGGAGGGAGCCCCGGCTTTACACAACAGGACAAAGTCACCTTGCCTCCCTGAGACCGGGGGCTCCCTGGGGACAAGGGCTGCCTCACATCCATCAGAGAAAGATCTTGTTGCCAAGGACCAAAACCATATCGCCCCTTCCAAATGGAAGGACTTTCTTCCCTGAGTCAAGGTCAATGGCTCCTATAGAATGGAAACTCCTCAGGATGGAAATGTCATCTCCCACCAAGGAAGATGTCCTAGAGACAGAGACCTGTACCTTATGGTACACAGTTAGTTGATCGGCATTTTTATTCATTGTGGCTTCAGAACTTAAAGAACATGAAGGAACTGTGAGCCCCTTCTAGACAACACCTGCTGTCTGAGCCACACACAAGTCGTAAAGCACTTTGGGCACACACTGCAGATGAATCTGCAGACTTGGGTTGGCGGGGAGGGCAGGAGAAGAGTGCAGCCCACTGGAAAATGGGGTTCCGTGGCCTCAAAATTTCCCAGGCCCCAAGCCCTAGGGAGCCTGTGTGGTCCTGCAAACCCTCAGGCATTTTCCTAAGTCATAAGCATCTCACCGTGAACTTGTGGTTTGGGACCCAAGCAACAAGGACCCTGGTCCCACCCTCTGTGTTTCAGAGACACTCATCAGGACCAGTCTCCTCAGAAAGCCACGCCCCTGGCCCTGAATCCCCAGAAGCCCTGGCCCCTGGTACCTGATGTAGAAGCTGTCACCAGGCAGGCTCTTCACCTTGGTGAACTCCTCAGGGCGGTACTGCACCTTGAGACGGACACCGTCCTTGGGCTTCAGCATCTCCACGTAGACCTCCTCCACCGTCTTGCCACGCATGTCCAGACTGCCGTACTGCCCAAGGACAGGGAATTGAGGTCAGAGGACAGGGGCCGGGGCGGCCTGGGTACCCATGAGTGGGCAGTTGTGGGACAAGGCAGAGATTTAAGATCCCCTCAACTGGGAATCTGCCTGCCTCACCTCTGCAGGTAAGGCCTAGTCCTCTGCCCAGAGGCAGTCTGGACCTGCCAGTCCTCTGCCAGTGTCCGCCCTGCCCTCAACAGCTTCTCCCAGGAGAGACCCTGTGCCAGTTCCCCAGCAAGTAAGGGTTATAAAACATGGCACTTTATCTCACTAGTGCTACTTGTGTCTTTGAACACCTATGAGCCCTCTCCCCCATCAAAGGGGAGACCCAGCCAGAGGGAGAAGACACTCCATCAGACCACAGTCCTGCTGCTCACACAGCAGAGCATCCTGCCTCCTGCTTCCCTCCCGACACCAGCGCCCAAGCCAGGGCCCTGCCCACATCCCTGTGACCCACCCCGAGTATCCTCAAAGCATTCAACAGGGGGCACCAGACAAGAAGCTGTGCTCTCTGCCTCCTGGGCCACTTGAGATCACAAGAGTCCAGAGGTGTGGGCAGAGAAGGGCGGGCCTGCTGCTCGGCAGCCCAGAACTCACCTCAAGGATGAGGTCTCCTGGCACAAGGCCATCGGGGCCCTTGGCAGGACTATCATCCTCCACCTCAGCCACAAACACCCCGTGCAGGTTCCCTCCACATAAATGCACGCCAAGCTCCAGCTGGGACTTTTTGATGAAGACAAGTCTGGGCTCTGGGCTCTTCTTGTTGGCTTCTCCCACCATCCTTTTGGTTAGGAAAATAAAGTTCCTCAATCGCACACGGCGGGGAGCAGGGCATGAACGACCAAACAGGCTAATGACTGGACAGTTTTCCGCTCACTCCATGAGGTTTCAGAACCACTGGGAGCTGACAGGTGGTCCCATCTGGGTTCTGGTTCTAGTTACTTGGTTTACAGGCCAGCTGCTGGGGTTTGTAGAGGTGAAAACGTGGCCCCACTTGAGAAAACGAGCTGGGGATCCAGTAGAAATCAACACCCCTACTTCTTGGCCCAGCTGCCAGCCGAGCGCCATAGGCAGCGTCTCTCCCCACCTGGACGGCACGTGTTCTCCTGACCTTGTTCTGCCAGAACTGAGAGCCGGTCTCATGGTTCAGGGCACAAAACAAACCATTCACCAATGTTTACTGAGCAGCTTCTATGGCCCAGAGACCATGCTAAACCATGAAGAGAGGGCCCCTTGCCATCAAGACACTCACAATGTAGGAGGGAGAATGAGTGCCAGCAAACTGAGTGGAGGCAACACGACAGTGCCTGTCACCGATGAGGGGGCCCCAGAGGACAGGCCAGCTGTGATTACTGCAGACAGGTTCCAGCGAGATGGACCCAGGGCAGAGGACAGAGGTGGCTGCATTCTGGGTGAGGCCAGGGCTTGGTCAAGGGGATGGCTCTGTCCGGAACTACAGAATGACTGCCATGTGCCCTGGCCCCGTGGCCCTCTCCCCATCTTCCCTCTGGATCCTGCTGCTACACAAAAGTTGACCCCCTCCTCCTGACCCCTCTCCACGCCCACCACTTGCGTGGCTAACCCCTGCTCGCCCTGAACATTTCAACTTAACTATCACAGCTCCCTGTCACACTCTCACTGACTGCTCCGTCATGGCCCATAGTGGCTCTCCCAGCACATGCTGCACATGCCTGGACACCTGCCTGTCACCCTCTAAACCCGCGGCTCCCTGGGGGCGACTGCTGGTGATGGCCACAGCCCAGGTCCTGGTTGGGTGTTGACTGTGGAATTCTGTCTAAAGACAGTCAGAAAACAAGTAGATGAAAAAAGGAGGAAGGAAAGGAGGCAGAGCTAAGAACAAGTCAATGAGAAAAAAGGAGAAAAACAAGAAAGTGAGGAAAGGTCGGGACGGAGGGAGGAAGAAGGAATGGCATGCTTCCCATCCCAGATCCTGACAAGCTGCTCTGCGGTCTGCGGCACAGGGGGACGCCAGCAGGATGCGTTCAGGCCACAGCGATGGCTGCCTGTCCACCCCACCGGGCCGGGGAACAGATGCGGGAACAGCACACATTTGCTGACCTGGAACTGGGGGTGCTCTGCTTGGCCGGGGGGGCACCAGGGCCCTCGTCCTGCTCCATCAGAGGGTCGATGACAGAGGGATGCTCCGGGCTGGTGGCACTGCTGCCCTGGAGAGTGGAGTGAGCGCCGACAGGGTCCAGGTGGGAGCTGGGGACCGAGGTCAGGAAGAGTAAGGAAAGGCACACAGTCCTCAGCCGTCCCCAGCCACCCGCTCTCTGGGGACCAGGGCTGGGCTGTGAACAGAGACTGGGTCACATGGCTCTGAGCCCTGAGAAGAGTAGCTCTCCTGGGAGCCTGGACTCGGGTCATCCACCCAACAGGATCTGTCTTCTCCTCCCCACCCGTCCTCAACCAGGGGGTCCTCTCTGAAGGTGTCGGCCTGGGGACACACACATTCACTGTGTTTGCACATCCTGCCCCCTTCGCTGAGTTGCGCAGTGCTGCATGGCAGGGGCAGGTTCTCCCCTTCTCTCACGTGCCCTGCAACCCACAGCTCGGGGGCAGAGACAGGCAGCGTCTGCTCGGGGACTGAGGGCCAGAACACTGCATGAAAATCCCGCCCCCAGGGCCTCAGCTCCTGGCTACCACACACCTGTGTGGGGCTTCCTGCTGCACCGGGGGACCCAGCCACATGCTTCCAAACCCACACCTCAGGTATCCTACTTCACATCCTCCCCCTATATGTCCTTCTCCCCAAGTCCAGGGCTGGCCAACTCCCCTCTTACGGCAACTGAACGGCCCAGAACATACAGCTAGCACCTTGGCTGCACCCTCTCTCCTCCCCCAGCCCAGATGGCCCTCGTAGAGGCCAGGCCCTCACCTGGACCGAGAGTGGCAGCTGAGCTGGTGCATATGTGGGTTGTACTGGGCCAGAATGGTGATAGTGTCACACTGCTGTCCAATGATGAGCCGGGCCTGTTGCTCCGTGGCACTCCGCAGGTTTATGCCATTGAACTAGGAAACATGCAGAGCACGCTTGGTGATGTGGTGGGGGGTGGGGACCGGGGGAGGAAAGGCGGAGGGAAGAACAAAGTGCAGAAGGCCAGCTCCCACTTACCTCAAGTAACTGATCCCCATACTCGAGGCCAGCCTGGTGGGCGATGCTTCCCCCAGTCACCTTGGAGACGTAGACCCCGCCCTTCTCTCCACTCACGATGGAGATGCCCAGAGGCTCCGAGCCCTTCTGCAGCTTGACGTGGCGTGGCTCCTCCACATAGGGCCTTGGAAGAGAGCCAACAGTTGTGGGGACTCAAACACAAAGGAAAGGGATGGGGAAAATCTGAAGTCGGGCATGCAATCGGCTACGCAGAAAGGGCCAGGGATCGCCGGGTGCTCCTATAATGACGCAGCTGGATGAAAACACAATGACCCCACTTTGTATGGCAGTGATACACATTCCCACAACCTCATGCAATATAAGCACGACACCCCCAAATGGACACAGAAGCACCCAGTCCCAAAGACACAAAGAATGGGCCATGTGAATTATAAACACTGATACAGCAGGGAAAAAGCGCGAAGTTTCATAACGTGAGAGTTGCCTCAACAGAATGTGCAATTTACAAACCCCAGTGGGGTCCCAAGATGCCCCAGGAGGAAAAAAAAAATGGCTCCTGTGAGGACAGTCACCCAGAAGAAACAATATCAAGTATCACTTTTTATATTTACCAGTATATAGGGTGATGTACAATGACCATGGAAATTAAGCCGCGGCAAACCCAAGCCATTAAAAAGGGAGCAGGGAGGCTCGGAGCAAGGCGGTGACCATGCACTTGCTGGCCCGGGGGCAGCCGTCCACCGTGCCAAGGGCACGAGGGGGCTCAGGCGGGGGCCTCATGTCAGGCCAACCTCAGACTCCTCAGGGAGGAAAACCTGGGCCTGGTGGCCACGGGCAGTCTCAGGAGGGATCTGTGGTGGTGAAGACATCTGGAAGGTGCAAAAAGTTAGAAAGAAAAGAGGGATGCTCAGAGAAGGATGACAGACGCCTGGAACCTAACGGAGAGAAAGATGGCCAGGTGATGCCAAATCATCCCATGAGGACTGTGCTGTCCTAAGCTCTTCCTCTCGGGACAAAACCGCAGCCAAAGGTCCAGGGAGGAACCAGCTGGAGCACCACGTCCTTGGGCTCCCCTCCAGAGCACGTGGGTGAGGGCAGACTCACAGACCGTGACAGACTGCTGGACAGACCGGCAGGCCGCTGAGCCACCCTACCCCTGCCACCTAGAGGCACAGTCGTCTCTCCAGCACAGCGGGCCTTGGGCTGGGACCCCACGGCCCAGGGCTCAGTCCTCTGGCGATCTGAGATCACAATCCTTCTTGACTCATCCCTTCACGTTCCCTGCCCTCTGCTCCTCCCAAACTCACCCAGCTGCAATGCCCTCCCTGACCCTGCAGCTCAGACACCTCAGTCCCTGGCTTGCACCCGTGGTCACTTCCAGACGCAACACGTATCAGAGCACCAGCAGTCTGGAGTTATAAGAAGCCTTATCCAGCAGCCACCACACCATCCTCACACCCCCAGCCAGCCTCGGAGGACAGCACAGCAGGTGCGGGCAGATCTCGTTTCTGGTCTGGGCTCCTCATCCCCTGCTGATCACCCTTCCTGTGTTCCACCTCCAAAACATACTTCTATCTCAAAAAAGCAGGAGGTAAGAGCCATATAACAGAAGGCACAAAGCCATTATGAACGATGAGTCAGGATTTGCCGACATGGAAAGACACAGAAGGCACACACTGCATGAGCACACAGGTGGGTGTAATCCTATTTACATAAACCTGTACATGTACACGTGTCTCCTCACGCATGGAGACGTCTCTATGAAGGACCCTACCAAGATGCTAACAATGGCACCTCTAAGTGAGGGACCTGAGGTGATCCTTACTTTTTCATCCCCTTAATGATCTAAGTTTCTTACAGTAGGCACAAGAGTTTTCTCAGAATAAGGCTGCTTTGTGAAAGAGATTAACAAAGCATACTTCACGATATAACAAATACTTTGAAGCAAGTATTTCTGTATGGAAAATACAAATAAGACATGCCTTTAAACAATGGACATCACACACTTAACAGAAGGGAAACAGCAACCGAATCTTCAGTTGAGGAGATTATATGTGACTTCTCTTCCACTTTTCTATTTTCCCCATTTCCTATAACAAGAAGTTATAGGATAATGTACTTTAGAATCAGGGGAAAAAGGCTGCTTTTTCTTCAGTCAGGCTACACATGCTAAATTCCATGCCTCCAACTAGAGCACCGTGCAGGCAGGAATGTGGACACTTTTCTCTCCCCAGAGCAGTGCCCAGTTCTCTGTACGCTACAGGAACTGAGGGGATACCCAACTACAGGCCCTTTCTGCTTCCAGGGAACTCACTTCAGTTGTCACCTAGTTTCTCAATGACCTAAGCTGGACTTAGGTAAAACCACCCACCAGACCCAGGACTTAGTGCAGGTTAGTGCTCCTGTGTATGTGTCACATGGGCGGGACACTCCCACATGAACCATACATGCTTCTTCTGTGGGCCGAGGTGCGTTGGTGTTTAGGTATACTTCTGTGCTCCAGTTAGTATGTGCCAGGTTCTTAGGTTACTTGTTAGGTTGTCTTACAAATTCAGATTTTCAAGTCAAAGGACTTTCCTAATGCTGGGCCCACCC